CTCGCTTCGCTCTGTGCAGCATCTGCTGCTGGCCTCTTCGCAAAAGCTGTGTGGATAAAGCTGCTGCTGAAGTTGAAGCTGCCGATAGCTGCAGCAGCAACAGAGGGACTGGGTGCTGCTTCTGCTGCTGTTGCTGCTGCTGCTGCTGCTGCTGCTGCTGTTGCTGCTGTTGCTGCTCGACGTACGGGAGAGGCAGCTAGAGTTGCTGCTGCCACTGCAGCAGCAGCACGCCTGTTCCTTGCTGCTGCTGCTAACGGGCTCTTCTGGGGACTGCCCTGCATGCTGCTGCTGCTGCTGCTGCGTCTACCGTTGTTGCTGCTGCTGTTGCAGCAGCTGCAGCTGTTTCTCTCCTTGTTGTTGTTGCTGCTGCTGCTGCTGCTGCGGCTGTATCGAGTGTGCTTCCTCTCTGAATGCAGCAGCAGCAGCAGCGCCTGCTGCTGCTGCCTCTCTGTGTATGTATAAACAGCTAAGAAGAACTGCAGCAGAGGGGGCCCCCCACCGGCTGGGGGCCCCCCTGAAACGGCAGGGGGGGCCCCCCTGCTAGAGTTTGTTACTGCGCAGCCTAAACCCTAATATAAAAAATATATTTGTTATAAATGCAATATAATATAAAATATTTACATCGATATATCCATAGAAGGCAGAGGGGGGCCCCCCCCCACCCGCCCCCCCCCGGGTGGTGTTGCTGCAGGTGGTGGGGTTGGGGGCCCCCCTATACCTAGCGGGGTTTGTGTTTAGGTTTATTTGTATGCAGAATAAATATAAAAATATTATTATTTTAGTATTATTATTTTATTATAATTATTTTATTATTATATTATTACTATTATATTATTATTATTATATTTTTATTATTATTTTATTATAATTATTTTATTATTACTTTAATATTAATATATTATTATTATTTTATTATTATTATTTTATTACTAGTATTCTACTGTTACTGGTTTATTATTATTTTTTAATTATTTTATTATCTTTTTATTATTACCGTATTATTAATATTACTCTCTTATTATTTTTTTATTTCTATTGCTTTACTATTACTACTTCACTACCATCAGTTTATTTTTTTTAATTTATTTTTATAAATGTTTTATCAGCAAGCACGCTGGTGTCGATAACTTTACTAACCCCAGACAAATCCTTCTATAGATGTATCTGGCTGCTCCAGCAGAAGAGAGTTAGTTTGAGTTTGTTATCTCTTTGTGTTTTTTTTGATTCACTTCTCATTCTCTCTTTCTGTGTAAACTAGGAGAGTGTTGGTTGGCGTAGCTAGCGACTCCTCCTGTCTCCTTATAGAGACTGATGCTCCTGGCCTCAGTTATATCTTTTTGTGTGCCTCTGTGTTTACTCTCTCACCAGAAGTATGTTGGTGCTAATACTGATCCGAAGAAACCCCAAACCATGGAGGGGTAGAAACACGGGTGAACTGGGTGCGGCATGTACACCCGTATCCCCACCTCTTCTCTTCTCTTCTCGCTCCACCCACCGCCAGCAATGCGTGGCTGTAGATTCAAGACAAAGGAGTGGGAATAAAGGATACACCCAGGAATTGTAGTTTCAGTTACAAGGCTTGCTTTATAGCCTTTGCAAAGGAACTGTAGAGAGTCGTAAACATTCATGATAGCCATCACCAGCAGAGCGTTGAGTAGAGCAGCATCAGCCGGTGCGGTGCTCACGCCGCTTGGCCGCATCACTGCCCCGCATGTTTCCTAGGCTCCAGGAAGAGTCACCGCTCTCGGTACCTCTGGCGGCGACGGTGTCGAAGCCCTCGCTATTCCGCGCTTACTATCTCGAACCAGCCTACATGGTTTGCTAAGATAGCAGCTAGCTAGTTTCTTCCTGTGTAGGTATCCTCGCGCTGATGCGCTCTGTTCCCTCGTTTACCCCTAGAACTGAGTTGGGGGTCATAGACGTAGTGTCCATTGGTTCGACATCTGCTGGCTATGTTCACAGCTTTCTCTCCCTGGCGGCTACGGAGGCAACGGTGGCGTGCTTAGTATCGTATTTAATCTTTCCGGCAAACTTTACGGGTTTATTCATCAATTTATTTTTCGCGGGTAAACTGAACACAAAATTCCCCTCGCTAGAAGATAATTCTGCGGCGATATATTCATACACAGAAGCCAAGTCCCCTGCGGTATTTCTGTGCAGCCGGATGATCACCGTTTGTATCACGTTCCTTCGAGAGCTTAGCGTGCTTGACTACACCGGATACATCCTCAGCATATTTTCTTGCTGATGGAGGGACGTATCTACCTTGCAGTGGACCCAGGCAAGGTCCTGTATTCACTGCTTCTCAGCTAGCAGCTGTAGAGCCCGCCGCGGATGCTGCAACTGCTCTGCAGATTCCAACAGAACGCAAGCAGCTCATCCATCTGTACAGCCATCGACACAACATTGATTTGCCTCAACCGGCTGTGATGCACCTGCCCCTGCAGCTGGATAGCTGCACTGACGAGGCTGAACTGCATCCAGGTGTACTCTGGCTGTCTGCTAACTATCGCCGGGGTGTACTGGTACCAGAGAAACGTATCAGCGATATCAAACGATAAATAAAATGCTGGATATTGCAAACTGGAGAGTAGCTCTTCGAACCCGAGAATAGAAAACTTTTATTTCATCGCTATTTTGGTGAGGGGCTTGAAATCAACGAAGCCGCTGTACCCCCTTCCCTTTCTCTTCACTAGAACCGGGTTGTGTTCTGACAGGCCAGTCGAATTTCTCTTTTTGTAGCCGTAGTTTTTCTGCTGCTTCTCTTTCAACTTCCTCTTCAGCATGTGAAGGTTGTCTGCACCTCGGAGCAAGCCTTGGCGATGATGCGCTGAGTGTTCGCTCGATGCATGCACTGAGCCTCTCTCTGTCGGGCTTCGCGCTGAAATATCCTCGTTGTTTAATACAGCTGAGAACCCTTTCTTCAACAGTATAAGTTTATGCTGTTCCCCGGGCCTTGACTGAATCGAAGCCCCAAAACTACGGCCTTCGTAAGACCATCACGACAGTGCATGCATCGCTCCATCGTTCCCTGCAGAGCTGCTTCATATACCAGCAACATTTCGCATCCCCGGTCAAGTGGCGCTAGCAAGCCTCTGATTATTTAAGTAAACCTGGGTATACACAGAGCTGAGTAGCGACCGAGCTGCAGCTGCTGCTGTAACCTCTTGCAGCCCCACCACTGTGCCGCACGTCTCCGTTTCCCTGATCGTGTTTGTCTTTCCTATGGTGGTGTTTCTGCTTGCTTCTCTCGTTCTGTATCTCTTTGCAACTTTCACAGCAAATGCAATAAGCTAGGCTACATAATCTGATATTGAAGATGCGTGAAGAGATGCCACTCGGTGTAACACCCCCANTCCATTGGCTCTAAACATGGTTCGCCTCCAAGCCCAACCCCGCTTTCTGCTTTCTCAGCTGTGGCGGTGGACTTGTAATTTTTTCTTCAGTTTGATGCGTATGCACCACCACCACCACCTCAGCAAGTTCAACCCTTTTCAGCCCTCAGTTTTTTTTTGCGGGGCCCAGCTGGTTACGGGTTGCCTTGCATCGCGGGAAAGCCCTGCTCCGAGCCACTGATACAAAGATGCAGAGTCTCCAGCGTTGGAGTTCTGTTCACCAAGAGCTGATGCATATCGATGTAGCACTCTGCTGACGGCTTTCTTCTCTTGAGTTTTCTCAGTTCTTTTATAGCCTGTTTAGTTGACGAGATGTAAATAAATATAAATCGTAGCACTCGTCAGAATGCCGCCATAGACTGGATTCTCCCCAGCAGAATTATATCCTTGCTTAGGTGTAACCACCACCCTCATGTCTCCTCTTCGTATATAATAAACCCTTTGTAATAAAAAAGATATCACCAGCAACTGTAGCTCTCGGGGTCAAAATTAAAAACAAAGAAACAAACCGAGAGAACCAGGGAGCTCGTACACTCTCCCAGCGAAACGTTGTTGCCCTTTATATATGGATTGTTAGCGAGGGCGTCGGTGTTCTTGATGGATCGTTTTCTCTGTATGGTGGTGTCTACGCTGCTACTCTGTTTTATATTCAGCAGTATGCTCAGCTGTGGTGTATGTGTTCTTTGCTAGTATTTAGCCAAACGAACGGCGCTGTGCTATTGAGAGAATCTATAGAAGCAAAGATTTCCGTGTTCAGAGGGTTTAGGGTTTAGGGTTTAGGGTTTAGGGTTTAGCTTATTAACAAAGTCACCAACCCTTCACTCCAGCCCCCAGAATAGAAGCGGCAGTTCATATCAACTGTAAGGGGTTTTGCTTTTGTTAGAGCTGCGCTGCTGCTCGCCCGCATAGAAGCTAAGCAGAGAGCAGAGTTTGCTGCATGCAGAGAAGTTGAGAGAATTCTTGTTGCATGCAAGCAGAGAAAGAAGAGGTATAGAGGTGATATATATATGATGCTGCTATCCCCTTGGTGTATGTATCTACACTGTTGCTGGTGTTTATAGATTTCTTCGGTCCCCAGTAACCAGCAGGAGCGACAATAGAAATATAATTATATTTGCAGGAAGAAGCAAAGCTAGACAGAAGATATAAAGAAAAGCAGCAGCAGCAGCAGCAGCAGCAGCAGCAGCAGCAGCAGCAGCAGCAGCAGGAGCGCTCCATAGAAAGAAGTACTGGTGTACACAGGCGTATAAGTAATAGATGAGAGGGATGTTTGTGTGTGTTTAATTTTGCGAAAAAGAAGCGTAAATATAAAAAGAAAAAAATAAATAAATATATTTTTATAAATATAATTAATTTTAAAGAGAAAAGAAGAAAATACAGAGTGATCGTCGGCAGAGTCTGTGGTGGCTCGATGGGTACTGGGGTTGTATGTGTGTATATAAGAAAAGAAAGAGCAGAAAGATAGACGGAATAAGTAAAAGAATAAATAAAGAATAAAAAATAAATAAAATAACAAGAAAAGCAAAAGTATGAGGATCGTCCTGAGCTGTATATACACCCCACAGGAGCAGCAGCAGCAGCAGCTCCTATAGCCGTGCTGCAAGC